GTTATAGTGGATGTATATTGTTTGAAAATAGTGATTATCAAACTAATTAACCGAGATACACAAACTTATTTAAGTAGATTTTTAAAATAGTATAGTGACAGGAATACAATTGTCTATAATTAGGAAGCTTAAGATTGGACCTATCTACTTATTTGATATTGAAAAACTTCAAATAATTTATGTTTGGTAGTATCAGTTTGATTCAGAAAATTTAATCTGGAAAATATGATTTAGTTTTTTTTTTTTAATTAGATAGAGTATTCTAGTCCTACAGAAATGGTCCAAATTAGTTATGTATTGTCACGTGGAAATGTTAATTCTGATGTTACTTTATTCTGTTTTGAAAAATGAGAAAAAGGATTGAGTATGACTTCACCGTAAATCGTACGACTCGATGACGCAATGGTTATGATAGCTATTAAGACGCCTCAGACAATGCATTTACACATTAAACCTTCCCTACTTATTTTACATTTTCATTTTCATAAAAACTATATACAGAGCTTTCCACTAGTCAATGTTATGTTTTTAACCAATCCACAAAACTAAACAAACCCATAATAAATTAAATAATATAAAGTCTTTCCCTCTGGAAACATGTCTAACACTCGACCTATGTATAAATAACACCACACACCGTTGTTCTATACACACCACTTATATTCACAAACCAACCCATAGAAACCCCCAAAAAAACTAATGGCTAAACTCATTTTCCTTCTCGCCGTCCAAATCCTCCTCCTTGCCTCCGTTTCTGCAACCGGAGACGACGGAGAAAACTTTGCAAGAACCATAGATCGGAAACTTCTTGGTCTCCACAAGAAAGAGAAACTAACTCATTTCAAAGTCTACTGGCACGATATCTTAAGCGGTCCAAACCCAACCTCCATCATGATCCAGCCACCGGTTGCAAACACTTCCTACTTCGGAGCCATCTCCATGATCGACAACGCCTTGACGGCGAAAGTTCCGATGAACTCAACCGTGTTGGGCCAGGCCCAAGGTTTTTACGCTGGAGCGGCTCAAAAGGAGTTGGGTTTTCTAATGGCTATGAACTTTGCTTTTAAGACAGGAAAGTACAACGGAAGCACCATCACGATTCTTGGTCGGAACACCGCCTTGTCGGAAGTTAGAGAAATGCCGATTGTTGGAGGAAGTGGGCTTTTCCGATTTGCTAGAGGCTATGTCGAGGCTCGGACAAAGTGGATTAATCTCAAGAACGGTGATGCTACTGTTGAGTATAGCTGTTATGTTTTGCATTATTGAGGTTTTGTCGTAATTATTTTATTTTATTCGACAACTTAAAAATAAAACAGTTTTTGAAGTTTTTTTCTTTTTGCATTTTGGCTTATGGTGTGTGTGGTGGGTTTGTGATAGAGGAGTTTTGTCGTTTAATAATATTGATGATATTTTTATTTCAACGAGTTTTTGATGTTATGTATTCACTTTAGTATATGTTGTTAATGGCCTTGGACCGACATCTCGACGTGGTCGGTAGAAGAACTCGACGAACACGTTAGCAGAAAAAAAAAAAAGAACTCGACGAACACGTTAATGACTTCGACAAGGGCGGTCTTGTGGTTAAAGATGCCCTAAACAATTCAGTAAGAGTTTTTTTTTTTAAAAAAACCTTTTTTTACAAATTTGGAAACCTGTTTCTATATAAAAATTTTGAAATTTTTTGGGGATGTTATGCAAATGTTTCGTTTCGCTATGCCGAAGACCGACCTGAACTTCGACAAGCATACTAAATACTCCTTGAGTTCATAATAAGTGTTGTTTTAGATTTCGACACACGGATTAAGAAAAAAATTAATTTTGTATATTTTGTTTATATAAAAACACAATTACCTATACATTTAATCATATTTCAATCAATAGAAAAATAAATTACATAATAAACTAATAAATTTTATATTGAAAACCGATAACGACATTTATTTTGCAGCAAAATTTTTTTTCTAAAACGATACTTAATATAAAATGGAGAGGAGTAAGAGCATCATTATCCCAAAGACCTATTTAGGGGTTCTTATTTATTTTTTAATACTTTTAATTAGTAAAAGTGATTTAAGAGACAACATTAAGAAACCCAAATATTTTTGTGCTCCATTGCAAGGTTCTTAATTTAGGAAATTTGACATGGAATGTTTGATGTTGTGTTTAGATTATTTGGAGAAGTAAGAAGAACCTTTGAGATGGAATGTTTGACACACAAGTCCAAGAGATAAGGACAAGTGACATGAGGTTACAAGAGAGTACATGGCCAGTCCAAGAGAGTACGTGACAACAGAATCCAAGAGAGTACAATACTCGTCCAATCCTGAAATAAACAAGAACATGAATCAGTAATCAGAACTTCTAACATGAAACATGAAACAGAACAACAAAGCATAAAAACATCAAGCATATCATTCTCATTACTGAAACAGAACAACAAATATCAAAGATGAATACTCTTACTATTTACGCATAACCAAAAGCTGTGTAAAGTGTAGTAAGAAATCAAATAAAGTAAGGTTCAACAAATACATCACCAAAGTCTCAACTAACCCAATTGAGATCTTCAAAAAAATCATTTTTATTTCTACTACAGGGATTTTAAAGTCAATACCCAAATGCAATCTTGTTCTAGTCAAAATATGTAATGAGAACTGTCCATAAAGAATCATATCTATAAAGCTACACAAAGAAGTAATCAGTAGTTAACCTGCAGTGCTTAACAATACTGAAAATCCCATCAGTAGAGAACCCCGAGCACTTATCAAGCTTCAAAGCCTCAAGCTCATCCCCCCCTCGCTTTAGCCAAAACATCCAGATCCAAATCACTCACAATCATCCTCCTAAAATGAAAGTATTTAATCACAGGGATATGGCGACCAACATGAAGTGTTCACAAGCCAAAAATACTTTGACTCACCAAGCCTAGCTTCCTAATTTTCAAGCACTTTGGCTAACAACCATTAAGAGCTTCCACTAGAAAGATGAAGAACACTTTCACAATCCCAATTTTGAAACTTTGTTAAAAAAGGTTACTCTGAAACCATTAGCTCAAGTTCTATAAATCACAACAACACAAAATCGATTCAATTCTCACTCCAATCAGAGATCATGTAGGTAACAGAGTCTAAGAGAGGCATATAGTTTTAAAAACAAGGAAAGGTACTTACTTTCTTCATCATCAGCGAACTCAAGAAGAAGATCACCTTCCTCATCGATCTTTTTCTGCAAAACCCAATTCATATAAACAAATAAGCACAAAACTTTCAGCATCAAATGGTTGGACCAGAAACAGAAGATAACAGAGTAACCACAAGTCGTTTCGTCGACGATTCACGGAGAGAGACGAGAGAGAAAGAGAGTTTCGCCGGTATGTCGACGAAGCACGGCGAGAGAGGGAGAATCGCGTTCTCTGATCTCTGATACGAAGTTGAAGATGTTTCGAGAGAACTAGACACCACGACCAAACACGAAACCAAAACACACGCTCCTCCTCTCTCCTCTCATTTACCCTACACGTGTCCTAGAAACCCGTCCCTTGTGTACCCCAAATAATATACGCCTCTTTCTATTAATTGTGTTTTTGATTTTCTTTTAATTATAAGAAACCCCCTAAATACTACCGATGTTGATGCTCTAAGATATTATGTTAGGGCTTCATTGGCATTTAAATTTGGTAGCTAATTCCTCTAATGTAAATCGCTGCACATTGATTATTGCTTCATAGTTTCTTGATTGCTGGAACGACTTTTAACTCGATGAAGTGACTTCTCCTTGCAGTAAACATGTTACTTCTTAACTTAACAGAAACACATTACTCAAGAAACATGTTACTCCCTCCTCCCTCTGTTCCTAAACGATTAATATTCTAGTTTTTTCACACTTTTTAATAAAACATAATAAATTTGCATAGCTTTTTGTATTTATCTTCTTTCCATAATTTTAAACTAATCAAAAATCAATTAATGCAATAAAGTTTTTTGAAGTTTACAATTATTTAATAAAACATACATTGAAAATATAAAAAATAAATCTTTTAGAAACAAATTTTTTTATAGAATATGTATCTTTAAGGAACGGAGGGAGTACTTCTTAACTGAGAAAATACATTACTTCCTCTGTTTCACTTTATATATCATTGTAAATTTTTTTATATATATATTAAGAAAATCATTAAATTTATTGTTTTATTCTTATTTAATATATTGATTTTTTGATTATTTTAATTAATGAATTGAAAAAATAAAGATAAATTTAGAAAAACTAGATAAATAATGCATTGAAAATATAAAACGAAACTTAAAATAAAACAAAATTTAAACTCTAAAATGACAACTAATACGAAAGGGAGGGAGTATTATTTTTATTTGAAAAAGAAAAAGATAAAACTTAATTCTCTAAATCATTATAACACGACCACTTTTATACTAAAGAAAAAGAGAAAATGCTTGTTTTATGTAATTGGAAGAACTTACATTCAACTTAAAACTAATCCTTTTCAAAAGAGTCAAAGCATTAAGGTTACCAACTTAGCCCATCATAAAAGTAATGATAGTTTTGAAAGTAAAAAAAAAAATCACATGTTTGTTTCTATGAAAGGTTAATGTCAGGATCAAGATTGCTTCTGGATCACCATGTGGAGCTGTTGCGTCTGAGGCCAAGGAATCACAAGTAAATAGGGTAGTTCTGGATAGGTATATCGTCTTATAATTTCTTTCTAGAATTATTTAGTTTAGTTTCTATCTGTGTGGTTAAAATGGTTCTTCTACAGGCAACTTAAGCACGAAGAGAAGCGGTGCATAGATGGACTTGACACGATCATCAACAAAGGATGCAGTGAAAGAGTATCCAAAATTAGCATCTGAAAAGAAGAAAACGACTACCACAAAACTTGGTGGTCTCATTTTGAGTCTCGTTATGGGGTTTGGTGAGCAAGAAATGTGTCCTGTTTGAAGAGTATGCAGTTGAAGAGATATTCAGAAACCGAAATCATTCATAAGTTTCAAACAGCTTCAGTGTCTATATACCCAGAGATCCAAATTGGCTAGTCTCAGGTAAATTAAATCACACCAGTCTTCAAACACGTTCGCATTCATTCTCAAGTCGAACACACTCTCTCAGGCAGTGTTTCTGGTCTTGGTGCTGCGTTTATTGGAAGTCAGAGATCAAATCAAGTAAATGAATTTGATGCCTAAACCAAAGTAATTATGACTAAACCAAGTAATTAACAAAACAAACCACCATTGGATGAAAAAACACGAAGGAAACATTGCAAGTTATCAACAAATTCAAACTGAAGAAGAAAACGTTTTCAATCACACACAAAACCTCACACACAAATATCAAATGGTATTTCTACGAGGAAGGGTATGACATCAGCCCAGAAGTTTCAGTCACCGCCGCAGCTTCCTCATCAAGAAACAAATTATCACTCCTTCTAATCGCCGCGTGGATCAGAACCAACACAACAGCAGTCAACAGCGATCCGAGAATATTCCCCGTCGCGTGCGTGAACAAAAGCATACCAATAGTCAAAACCGATAAACAGATCATGACCGTCCGATCGTCCACCTGGTGACCGAAGACAACGAGAGGCTCGTCGCGGAGGAAATAGAGGAAGATCCAGAAGACGACCAGGATTGCCAAGACGAGGAGGGAGGTCGGGTGGTAGAGAAGGCTTAGGAAGAGGATGACGAGGACGGCGATGACGTAATTGGCTCTGAAGTAGACGAGATTCGTCTTGATTCTCGAGATCGCGTCGAAGAAACCGTGGGGGAGAGTCATGGACTCGGTATCGAACATCGTTTTCCATGGGCGGCGCGTGGCGAGACCTGATTTGATGCGGTGCTTGACGTGTGAGATGTACTCGAGATCTATCGGGGGAGATGGGTGAGACGACGTCGGAATGGAGCCGTAGTTCGTCATTTCGTTCACGCACGCGTCTCTCAGATTGGTTGGAGAGAGAGAGAGAGTTATGTAAACAACGTTTATGTATTGCTGGAAAAGGAAAATATGATCAGTTCCTATGGGTTAGAATTAGGTATGCTGCCGGCATGGGTGTCATATATAGATAAAAATAATTAATACAGATAATATAACCAAACATAAATGCTAGTAAGTTCTTACGAAACTCTCCTCCATCCCAACAGGGGAAAAAAAACTCCATTTATAATTTTAGAACATTTCGGTGCAATCAGTAGCATCTAGAGATGTTTTATTTATTAAAACTGTGTAGAAAGTATATTCTGGGACTAATTCCATAAAAATCATTTTTAGTCTATTCGAATCTCTGTAGAACAGATTCTGAATTCTGATGCAGCAGTTGTCAACGGGTATATTCCACTGTTAATGGATTAAAACCTTACTTGAGTCTCAAGTGTCTGTTGTGGTTCAGACCGGCTTATCTAAAATCTGGATGGTGCAAAACGTTTGAAGGAGTCTTTTCAAGGCATCAGGAACGCGACCTTAAGAGTTTGAATGGCTTAATAGTCAATACTCTTCTAGCCAAGATAATAATCTATCTGAACGATGTTGCCTTTGTCATAGTTCTTTCTATCGCTTGTTCCTTTACGATGCAGCAGGCTTAGTTTGCTTACTTGTAGCATTAAAGATAAATCGTTTTTTCTCGACCAAAGTTGCTGCAACCACCAGCTAAAAGATATCGAAAGAATGACAGTTTGGATGGATGTGGCTGCGTATAATGTTTATTGAATTCTTACAGTCTCAATACCAACATCTTTTGCCAGTTTATCAACAAAAATCTACGCCAGTCTATCAACTAAAAGTTTACAGTTCATTACTCTTACCTCACAGAAAGCTTCGCTCTCTCCAGTTAACTAATCATCAATGTTGTTTGCTCTCTACGTGAGCTGAGTTCCCTTGCATCTCTGGGCAATTCCGCTTAATATGCCCTGTAAGACCACATCCATAACATGCCTTACTTTTGCATGGTCGAACGTGTCTCCGCCCACGCTGTCCGGACATGGATGTCTGCTCCGTTCCTGAGTCCACGGCGTGGTCGTCCCATGTCCGTTTTAGAGTCCCCTTTGGCGCTTGGGATGCTCTAGCTTGCTTAATCTCCACGTCAATGTTACTCTCCATCAGGACTGCAGTCTCCACCAGGTCGACCATACTCACGTACCTCCGCATTTGGCATCGGTTCTTAATGTCAACTCGCAAGCCCCTCAGGAACTTCTCTATTTGTTCCCTCTCATCGATGTTCCTGCTAACAAACTTTCTCAAACGATAGAACTCCTGCTCGTACTCCCTCACAGTTCTAGTCCCCTGGCGCAGTTCTGTGAAGTCTTTATCCATCTGATCGATGGCTTCTTCCGGAAAGTATTTCCTGGCAAATTCATCCTTGAAGTCGTACCAGTTGAGCACATACCCTTCCGGAGTTCCTTGAACCACATTTTCCCACCAGATATGGGCTTCTTCTCTCAAGTAATGGGCTGCTAATTCCTTTCGGTATTCCACTGGACACATGCTGGACTCGAAGTTCCTTTCCAGCAGTTGCCACCAATTGTCTGCGGCTACCCGGTCAGCACCACCACCGAAGGTCTCAGTACCTAAGTCTCTCATCCGTCTTAATGCGTGCCAGTATGATGGTATTGGCGCGGTTGCTGTCCCTAGCGGAGGCCTATCCTGAGAGGCACCTCTTTGTACTGGCGGAACAACTATGGCTCGAGAAGCCAGTCCCACTGCTGCGTTATGCTGCAGCAACGGCCCAAATAGCTCCTTGATTCCGTGCAAGACGGCTGCACTTACTGCCGCAGTATCCCCCACGGGAACATGTGTTTGGCCATTCGCACCATCCTGGGGCTGCCCCACGCTGCGTGTGCACTCGAGTGTCTCTGCTGCCTCAGCTAGGTTGGATGCGGTTTGATTTCCAGTGTTTCTTGGCTGGGACAGAAGGTTCATTCTTCTCTCGGACGGCATCTGTTCCGAATATCCATGAGAGACAAGAAACATAATACAGAGGCATATAATAGTACAAGTCCACAAAGATGAGTGGGTACCAGAAAACCATTTTGCTCTCCATAAGAACCACGGAAACTGCCATCCATATTATTGAAATATGATCCACCTGGACACATAACATATGAGATGAAAGGAGTTAGCCACTTGATGAAAATACCATATGCTTCCAGCAGGAATGATGTAGGAGGTTCGTACCATAGCCCCACGGCCTACTATCAACAGCAGCAAGTTCTGCTCGTAGCTTTTCAACATCACGCGCCATAGAAACCATGTTATTTTCCATAGCCTGCCGCTGCTCCAAAAGCTCAAACTTTTCCTTCTTCTCATAGTCAATAGCACCTCTGTTCCAAAAGCAAAAGCCATCATATTTTTTTAGAATTTACAACCGAAACCCAGATGCTCAGGCATTAAAGTGTATTAACTAGAACAACTAATAGAATTAGTAAATAAATATTCAAATTGATACCTAGCGTGCATAAGCTCTTTCCGCAGGTCTAGTAGCTCAGCTCTCAAACCTGGAATCTGCTTGTTATCCGATTGCAATTTCACCAAATCTTTCCTAAGTATCTCAACATCTTCACTAAGTTCACGTTTTATATCATTTAGTTTCTGAACTTCACCACGCAACTGTACAGCCTCTTCTTTATAAGACTCCATAGCACGAGCATCCTCCTCCCTTTTCTCACAGAACTCCCTCGATTGAAGATCTTGTTCAGCACGAAGATCAGAAATGATGAGGTTCATCCGGCGTATCTCTTCCCTATAAGACTCCATAGCACGAGTATCGTCCTGCATTCTCTCACTGAACTCCCTCGACTGAAGATCATATTCAGCCCGAAGTTCAGAAACAGCGAGATTCATTCGGTGAAGCTCTTCCTTAGCTGCACCGAATTCTCGCTCTAGAAGCACTCTGTGTTCAGCTAGTCTGTGATTATCATTGAAAAGCCTTTGGTTTTCAACAGACTGTATTTGAAGATCTTCCAACAGTCTCTCGGGAGAGAAACCACGTGGATCATGATAACTTCCAGACATTCTGAAGTAAAAAAAAGATTAACGGTCAATGTTTAACTTTCTCGAATCAAATTGAACAGTTAAAAAAAAACCTTGTATAAGGATCCATCAAAGCATATCATGAGCCATTACATAAACGTAAACCTACGAGAAAAATGAGTTTCTCCAGAGCATGCATTTGCTAAATAAGAACGAAATTAGGGTTTTATAACATCAACAAATCAACATAAACCTAAAACTAAGACCTAAGACCTAGATCATAGAATCGATTTCGAATTGGTCTGATCGCAGATCGGCAATTTCTAATTGGAAATCAAAGAGCAAACTGCGTTTCTCCAGAATCATGCGTTTTCTCTCAAGTAAGAAGGAAAATCGGGTTTTATAAAATCGAAAAGGTAAAATCAACCAAAGACCTAGAGAGAATCATTTCCGAATTGGATTTGATCGCAACATAATATTTCAGTATGGAAGATTCAAAGAGGATGAAAGTATAGAAAGGTATCTGCGAAAAACCGTAAGAAAACAATACAAACCTTTTCTGCTGCGGTTATCGTCTTCTACCTTCCTCCTTGTGTGTTGCTTCAGCTTTGTTTCTCAAGTCTCTCTCTTGGTACAGATAACAACGTAGGTCCGTGGCTGCGTTCTTAATGACGACTGGTTAAAAATCTTCCGTTTTAAATTATTTATCGGGATTCTTATCGATTTAAATGGGCTTTTGTTTCTCAACTTGAGCCTATGAAAAACCAATAATCATATATATATCTACTCTATTAAAATAGAGTCATTCTTTTTATCTACTGATATAAGTTGTCATTTAAATTTAGTGGGGGTTATTGGTTCTAGTATTTTATAGATTCAGAAATCCTTCTTGGATTTTGAAATTTTTGACAAATCCACACATTTTAGAATCAAATAAGTAGATTTTAGAATCAATGAAATAGATTTCCAAATCAAAATAATTGAATTCTTATAAATCTGTCAAATGGATTTGTGATAAGCTTAAATTTGTAACAAAATAAAATATATATAAAACTACAACGTATGTTTTATCATTTTCTATATCATATGTTATTATGG